GAACCGTTTTGGGGTGGCGGAGAGAACTTTCGCCAAACGTAAAAACCTTGGCTGGATTTTTACGGCTTGAGGGCAACACACTGCAAATGTCCAGCCAATTTGACCAAAACTGCCAGGCTTCTGGCATAGATAAAGGTTAATGGACCGTGTGAGTTGATCACGTACCCCAATTTGGTTGAAAGTCCCGACTTCAACTTTCCTTCGTGCGGCCTGTATCCCATGTTCCCGATGTGTGCGCTGTGTTGTTCGATGTGATGCAAGAAGAATGCAGAACACAAGGAAAAGGCTTAAAGCGAAATGCAAAACTAAAACTATCTAAGACTGTCGCGAGCGACAAAATAAAAAATGGTCTGCAGGCTGCAGGCGGAGGCAAGAGGCAGGCAGGCCGAGGCGTTGTGATCATCTCTTCTCATGTTTTCGAATTAGCTACGACCCCCACCAATGGTGTTCTTCCCCGTGATCTTGAGCCAGTTTTTTCTTGGTGATATTCTCTCCCACCCAAACACTCCCAGACAAGAGAGCGACCAAACACCAAGGAACACAAAAAGGCAGGAGCCGCAGCTCCCGGAATTTTCTCTTTCTTTTACTTCCCAGCCGGCAGTTCCAGGAGGCCCCGCTGCCGCCCTCACCCATATTTCGTCCTGGGCCAAACACACGAACACCACAAGACGCCCGCGAAAAACCGAAAGACTTAGCCCTGGTGGGCCTCCAGCACGGTCATAGCCTCCTGGATCTTGGCCTCCAGAGCCTCCGGGCTCTCCAGCAAGTGCAGCAGCTCACCGTTGTCCATCTCCAGCAGCATACCCGTGATCTTGCCGGCCAGCTCAGGCTGCTGGCGGTGGATCAACGGGTACAGACGCTCACCGATCATGTTCTTCTGAATCTCAGGCGAGGCGGCAGCCAGGGCGGCCGACGTCAGCGGCTCCGGGCCAGCGTTCTGCACGGGCGCGGCCGGCGGCATCACGCCCTGAGGCGGCACATCGCGGGCCGGGGTGGTTGCGGGCGTTAGCCGTGTACTTGAAGTTGCGGCGGTTGGCCGGAGCGCCCTGAGGGACCCTGCGGGCCGGGGCCCTGACGGCCACGACGCGGCTGGCCACGCTGCTGCTGCATGGGCATGCCGTAGCCAGGGCATCGGGTAGCCACCCGGAGCCGGAGCGCCAGGCACACGAGCACCGTATGGCATGGGGCCACGCTGGACACCACGCGGCATCATCTGCTGCGGGTACATGAAGCCCTGACGAGCCTGAGGCGGGAGCTGGCCTGGCTGGCCGTAGAACATGGGGGCAGCACCGTACATGGGCGGCTGGCCCATAGGCATACCACGGCCCACAACCATACCAGCGCGCTGCTGGGCGTGCTGAGCCTCAAGCTGAGCACGACGCACCTCCTTGCGCTGGGCAAGAGCCACGTACACAGGCTTTCCAGAGATCAACTTGCCGTTCATCTCGGCCACAGCCTTGTTGGCCTCCTCGGGGGTCGAGAAGCACACGAAGCCGAAGCCACGCGAGTTTCCATTGGGGTCACGCATCACACGCGACGAGGTAATAGTGCCGCACTCAGCGAAAGCCTCACGGAGCTCATCGTCGGACAGCTGGTCGTCCAAGTTCTTGACGTATAGGTTGACGCCCTGGTACTTGTTAATACGCTCCATCTTGAGCTGCTCGAACTTGTTGCGCAGCTCACGCTCACGCTCCGAGCGCTTCTGGGCCTTACCGACATACATCTCGGTGTCCAAGCCCTCACCAGCAGGGTACGACTTGCCGTTCAGAGCGTCCACGGCCTTGTGGGCGGCGTCTGACTCCTCATAGTTCACGAAGCCGAAGCCACGGTTGTGGTCCGGGTTGGCGTTGTCCTTCATGACGACAGCGCTGAGCACCTTTCCAAAAGGCTCGAACTCCTTCAGCAGATCCGCGTCCGTCCACTGAGTAGGGATGTTCTTAACGTAGCAGTTGGTCCAGTCGTCGGCGTCCGGGCGGTCCTGACGCTTCTGGAAGTGGCCAACAAAGACCTCCGTGCCAGCAATTAGCATGCCGTTAATCTTGGCAATGGCCTCCGTGGCCGCCTCGGCCGTCTCATAGTGCACGTATCCGTAACCCTTGCTGTTGCCCGTCGTGTGTTCAATAGCCACCTTGCAGCTAAGAATGTTGCCAAACAGCGAAAACGTGTCGTACAGCGCCTTGTTGTCGATAGACGTGTCCAGGTTCTTGACGAAGATGTTGCCTACGCCTGACTTACGCAGGGACGGGTCGCGCTGCGACCACATGATGCGGCACGGAACGCCCTTGATGCTCGTGAAGTTCATCGTGTCCAGGGCGCGCTCAGCGTCGGCCACGTTGTGGAAATTCACGTACGCGTAGCCCAGCGAGCGGCGAGTCACAGCGTCGCGGCACACGCGGATGCTGGCAACCGGGCCGACGGCTTTTATTTTATAGAACACCCCGACTGAAGACACCATTTGTTGAGAAAACTGTGCGTTAAATATCGTCTGTGATGTGCGAGTCTAGTACATTAACCACAGCAAACTACCTACTCATCAAAATATATTTATGAAAGAAATTCAACAATTCTGAATTATGATAGGCGTAAACTCGCAACAAGTGATGGGCAGTGAAAAGGGATGACTCCATAGTCTCCACGCTCGACAATCACACTCG